CTTAAATGACAATTTCTTATTCATTTTTGACAAAGTGTCTCGATTTAATAGTGGTTTTTTTCAAAACTTCATTCAACTTTGGGTTTTTGAACCGAGAGGCAGGGGTTCTTATTTGAACTCGTCGTTCACCGCTCGGCTAAGTTGGCAATGGTTCTTTTCAGAACTTCGTTCATAAACTTGGGTTTTTGAACCGAGCGATAGGGGTTCTTATTTGAACTCGTCGTTCACCGCTCGGCTAAGTTGACAGTGGTTCCTTTCGGAACTCTTTGTTCATCAACTTAGGTTTTTGAACCGAGCGATAGGGGTTCTTATTCGAACTCGTCGTTCACCGCTCTACCAAGTTGACAGGGTTTTTTTTATAAACTTTGTTCATCAACTTGGTTTTCATTTCTCCATTCGTTCATCATTGGATGTCATTGCAAACACTTGATCAGGAATAAGAGTCTTGAATATTGAATTAATCATATTGAAAAGAGAAGTACAATGGGTGAGGATTTAACTAAAATAAAATTTTAGATGAGTGGCATTCCAAGTGTTTGGAATTTTGCGTCCGTTTGGATTTATGAGCCGATACGCTCCGTTACCCAGGACTTCTACTATTCAAAAAGCCCCCCCCCCCCAACTTAGCAACGAGCTTTCCGTGGGATGTTGTCCGGCGTGCTTCACCAATTTTCCTTCATACCAGATCTCCTTCTTCAAAGCTTATAGGTCGAACCTTGGTGTTGTACATTCTCTCCTCCATCCGCTTGAATGCTTCCACTCTTAGCGCCGCCCGACCTCTTCGCTCTTCCAAGGTATCAAGCTCTACCCTTAGCTCCTCATCATTCAAATGAATATCCTCTATCTGCCACCGTAAAGAGGGCTCTCCTAACTCGACCGACAACATGGTGTTAGTGCCATACGTCAAGTTAAAGGGTGTTTCTCTGGTTTTTCCTTGTGGGGTGCATCTATAAGCCCACAGGACCTTTGGGAGTTCGTCGACCCATGCTCCCTTCTTTTCGCCTAATCATTTCTTTAGTTCGGATACTATTGCCTTGTTCACGGCCTCTACTTGGCCATTTGTTTAAGGATGCTCCACGAAACTGGTCACGTGTTTAATCCCTAATCCTTTGTAGAACTCACCTAGCTTCATGTCGATGAACTATGCTCGTTGTTCGTGACAATCGCCTAGGGGAGCCCGAACCGACATACCAACTTCCAGCAAAATTTCTGCACTCGCATCGTCGTAATGGTTGTGAGGGCTTCGGCCTCGACCCACTTGCTGAAGTAGTCGACCGCCACGAGGAGAAACTTCTTCCGAGCCCTGCCTGGGGGAAATGGGCCGACAATATCCATTCCCCACTAGGCAAATGGCCATGGAGACACGAGTCTGTGCAGGTCGTGCGGCGTNCAAACGAAGCTCCCGTAGTTTGGAGCCAACATTAAAATTATCTCCAAATACTGATGCTGTTAGATTATTTATAGACAGATCAAGGATATTAAGAGATGGAAAATTTGGATAAAGAAAAGATGACAAGGCAATGTCATTATCTGTGAGATAAAGCTCTTGTAGATGAAGGCTAAAATTGAATAACCGTTGAAATGTTGTGGAAGTTAGCACATTAGAAGACAAATCAAGGACAGCAAGAGAAGTTGAAAAGTTGGAATGAGAACGAAACAAAGTTTTGATATTAGTATCTGAAAGAGAACAATCGGAAAGCCTCAACTCTACTAAGTTTGGAATGAGTTCACTGATAGCTTGTAGCCACTGGCGCGAGAAGCTGAGATAACGCAATGATGTCAATTGAAGGCTTGTTAAAGAATGGAGATTAGACAACCACTGTGAATCCTCGGCTTCTATATCAAAATCACCACCTAGCCCAAGAGTTTGTAAGAGAGGAAGATTCCCATTCCGAAAAGGGATAGCTCCAGAAAGAGTGTTCCTTGCAAGATTAAGATATTGTAGCCGCTTGAGATTCCTAAGTTGAAATGGGATTTCTCCTGATAGAGAATTCTCTCCAAGATCAAGATATTGTAACTGTCTAAGATTCCCAATCTGAAAAGGAACTGTTCCATGAAGACTATTTCTTCCAAGGTCTAGATACTTTAGTAGTGAAAGATTTCCAAGTTGGAAAGGAATCATCCCACTAAATTCAGAAAATGAGAAGTTGAGATATTGTAAGTTGGTGAAAGAGCCAATGGCTTGTGGGATGTGAGTCAACAAAAAATAATTATTGCTGAGATCTAGATGTTGAATGTATTGCAAGGGAATCAATGAAGTGAGATTGATTGCACCTGTTAAATAATGTGTATCCAGACAACGAAGATCAAGTAGAATGACATGACCAGTTTGATGGTTGCATTGAATGCCTTCCCAATTGCAGCAATCTGTATTATTTTGATGATGAGTCCATGTAGACAGTCTGCCATAGTCATCAATGAGGCTTTGTTTGAAGTTGAGGAGTGCTTGTCTCTCCTTCTCTCTGCAGTTGCTTTGACCACTTTTACGTGATTCCTTGAATCCAACTGAAAATCCAAAGGAATACAATAAAAGCAGATGAAATAATGTTACAACGTAAGGACTTATCATAATTTTGCTGATAATCTAAACTAAGAGAAGAGTGACGAAATAAGAAAATTTTGATTCAAGTTTTCTCTTTCAGTTCTGAAATTTAGAAAGCTGGATCGCATTATATAGTGACAATAGAAAACGAGTAATTATATGTCTATTTTTTTTATAGCTTTTTTGACACTACTTCGTCTAAAACTATTAAATAAAAAAAGTAAATATAAGTAATAAGAAAACTACTTAAAAGTTATTAATCTACCTACGAATCCATTTCAAGAGTTAGAAAATTACGCACAACACTTCGTGTGAAAAGATATAAAAAAAACATTTTAAAGGTTATTTTATAATTTCTAAAATACAGTTCTATTATTTTCATCCTTAATAACTTTATAGAGACTAAAAGAAAGGTGCAAAAAGTAATTAAAATTACAGAGACCAGAAGTCAATTTTTTTTTTAAATTACAATAAAATATGATTATATTTCAAGGATAAAAAAGAATAATGCTAAAACAAAATCTAAGTTTAATTTATTGATTTTGCTATTCTTAACCTTTTTTTTACTACAACGAAAGAGCAAAAATGAAATCTTCATAGTTCAATATGTTTTACATGGGTTTGGAAAATTAACACACCAATCATAAAAGAAAAAGTAAAAAACTAGTCTAAAGAATTTATTATCATTTGATGTGATTGCACGTTTAATTTTCTAATCCGTTAAAAGAATTTAAAACTAGTGGTGGATTGTGATCTATCCACACAGTTTACATACACAATTATTCATGTTTTGTCTTCTCTTCACCAAATATGCTTTTTTGATGTATATCCACCACCTTTAACTATATTCCAATAAAAAAAAGACAATTATGTAATGTGTGTGGAATGAACTTTTGGGTCATAAAAGGCAAGAAAAGTTAGTGAAAAAGTTATAGAGAAATTTAAAGCTGAGCGTACAACACATGGAAAAGGTTGGTATGAAAACTTTAAGAAGAAAACAAAAATGCTTTATGAATATCTAAACCACTTTTTATGTTAAAGACACTTTTTTTGGAACGTAATTATTACACGACCTTATCCTTCTTTCATAAAACAAAATATAGAATTTATTACCCATATTCCTGTAGCTGTATGATTGTATAATTAACTTAAAGATGAAAATAATCGCCAGTAGAAAATGAGTCATCCATTCATTAGATTTATATTAATTCTAATTGTTTAAGTTCATTTCCGAGAAATTAAGTGAATTTTCTAATAGATATATAAGTTGTACTCTAAATTTTGGAGTAGATGATGTGGAAATTCTCAATACTTTCTTTTCACCTATGTTTACTGAAGTATGTAATGAGCAACATGAACTATGAACTCTGATAGATTTCAGTTCAAAATAAAGGACCGAATATTACTTATTTTAGTTCCAATGGGTGACCAAATTTTTTGTCATTTAAATATTGTTTAAAAGTTTACATCACTAAATTAGAAAATTATTTGAAAAATTAAAAAGTTATTTGAAATTATAATAGATCTCGAACTAAATCTTTCAAATTGTTTAAACTATATGTACTAACTTATTTTAAAATATATGGATGATTAATTTATGTTTTTGTTTTTATCGTAATAAATTCATTTATATTTAATTGGATTCATATGCATCCATTAAAAAAACCTTAATTACCTTTTGAGATATACAAATGGATAAATTAATTATTTGTATTAAATTATGGATTGTTCATAGTTTAGAAAAATTATACTTTATAGTTTATTAATGTATATTGTTAGATATATTATTTTTATCTTATATTTTTATTTAGTTTGTTATTATTTTTTATTTGTATTTTCAGCTTAGTTCATATTTCTTCTATTAAAAAGAGAGGATCCTATATGTATATTAGACGAAGATTAATCCTATACATAGTTTTCACTATATTCAACATGGTATTCAAAGCCTAAGATTCTTTTGAGTAAAAAGTTCTTATTGTCTTTGTTACTTCACCCGTCGTTGCCAGCGGCAGCACCATCTACTGTTGTCGGTGGCACCATCGTCTACTATCATCGTCTACCGCAGCCATTACCGCCAAGTGAACACCATGTTGTCAACGACGCCTCACCAATGCAGCGAGGGGAAACGACAATGGTTATTTTTGACAATCCGCTTCGATTTTCGAACCGAGGCATATATTGGCGAGATAAAAAGGTAGGGAACTTTTGGCCTTGGTTCCAACCGAGGTAATATGTCTAGGGTTTCTGCTTTGGTTCTTCTACACCTGAAGTAGTAAGTTTATAATATCCGTATATAATAAGTTTATTACATACCGATTTAATTCGTATATAATGATCCGCGGGTAACTGCTATTTTCTTGTAGTGTAATGACGAAAACGTGGTGCCTAAAGGCAATCCGACTGAGAAGGATCGAGCTAGGGGAGAGGAGTAGATGAATGACATGTTAGGAGGGGCTATTTTGTTTATTTTTTTCTAGGTTTGATAGGTGTTTGCGTTATCGGCCCATCAATACCATTCAATGTATACGGCTTCTTCCTTTTCATTACATGAACAGAATATCCACTTTTTGTTTAAGTGTTTGCGCTACTTTTATTCGGTTCTTTCTTTGCTGAATATTTTTAAATGTGGCTTAGCGACAGCGGCCCTCAATTTTTTCTCCGGCCGTTTCTTAAATGACAATTTCTTATTCATTTTTGACAAAGTGTCTCGATTTAATAGTGGTTTTTTTCAAAACTTCATTCAACTTTGGGTTTTTGAACCGAGAGGCAGGGGTTCTTATTTGAACTCGTCGTTCACCGCTCGGCTAAGTTGGCAATGGTTCTTTTCAGAACTTCGTTCATTAACTTGGGTTTTTGAACCGAGCGATAGGGGTTCTTATTTGAACTCGTCGTTCACCGCTCGGCTAAGTTGACAGTGGTTCCTTTCGGAACTCTTTGTTCATCAACTTAGGTTTTTGAACCGAGCGATAGGGGTTCTTATTCGAACTCGTCGTTCACCGCTCTACCAAGTTGACAGGGTTTTTTTTATAAACTTTGTTCATCAACTTGGTTTTCATTTCTCCATTCGTTCATCATTGGATGTCATTGCAAACACTTGATCAGGAATAAGAGTCTTGAATATTGAATTAATCATATTGAAAAGAGAAGTACAATGGGTGAGGATTTAACTAAAATAAAATTTTAGATGAGTGGCATTCCAAGTGTTTGGAATTTTGCGTCCGTTTGGATTTATGAGCCGATACGCTCCGTTACCCAGGACTTCTACTATTCAAAAAGCCCCCCCCCCCCAACTTAGCAACGAGCTTTCCGTGGGATGTTGTCCGGCGTGCTTCACCAATTTTCCTTCATACCAGATCTCCTTCTTCAAAGCTTATAGGTCGAACCTTGGTGTTGTACATTCTCTCCTCCATCCGCTTGAATGCTTCCACTCTTAGCGCCGCCCGACCTCTTCGCTCTTCCAAGGTATCAAGCTCTACCCTTAGCTCCTCATCATTCAAATGAATATCCTCTATCTGCCACCGTAAAGAGGGCTCTCCTAACTCGACCGACAACATGGTGTTAGTGCCATACGTCAAGTTAAAGGGTGTTTCTCTGGTTTTTCCTTGTGGGGTGCATCTATAAGCCCACAGGACCTTTGGGAGTTCGTCGACCCATGCTCCCTTCTTTTCGCCTAATCATTTCTTTAGTTCGGATACTATTGCCTTGTTCACGGCCTCTACTTGGCCATTTGTTTAAGGATGCTCCACGAAACTGGTCACGTGTTTAATCCCTAATCCTTTGTAGAACTCACCTAGCTTCATGTCGATGAACTATGCTCGTTGTTCGTGACAATCGCCTAGGGGAGCCCGAACCGACATACCAACTTCCAGCAAAATTTCTGCACTCGCATCGTCGTAATGGTTGTGAGGGCTTCGGCCTCGACCCACTTGCTGAAGTAGTCGACCGCCACGAGGAGAAACTTCTTCCGAGCCCTGCCTGGGGGAAATGGGCCGACAATATCCATTCCCCACTAGGCAAATGGCCATGGAGACACGAGTCTGTGCAGGTCGTGCGGCGTTGCGTAGGTGTCATTGGCGTGGGCCTAGCCACTGACGCATTTATGGACAAACAACTTAGTATCTTCCTCGAAGGAGAGGTTGATCGGCGTCTTGTTGATCCATCAATTTTCGGAACTCCGCCCTCCAATCTTCAGCTTTGTCTGCCGTTATGGCAAGGCACTTCACCGACGGTTGTAGCAACACCTAGTGGATGATCGTGGTTAACTGTCCTTTTTCTTTGCCGGAGCTGACCTTCGATAGCATGTTCGCTTGGGAATTCTCTTCACGGGGGATGTGTCAAATTTCAATTTTGTCAAACTCTATGGTCAAGGCTGCAACCTTGTGGAAGTACCGGAGGAGGTGGTCTTCCTTAACTTGGAATTCCCCGTTCATTAGCCTGAATACCAATTGGGAGTCCGTCCGGCACAGGACCCTCCTGGCTTCCATGTCTCTCGCCAGTTCCAGTCCCGCCACCAGGGCTCTTACTCCGCTTGATTGTTGGAAGTCCTAAATTTGACCACTAAAGAGTGTTCCAGTAGGAAACTGTTCGGGCCTTCCAACACTATCCTCGTGCCGTCACTGATCGTCCTGAAGCTTCATCAACATATAAATTCCACTCATCGTTGGCCGCCATGGGTAGTTTTGCTGACCTTTCACCAATCCCCTAGGTTCGTATCTTAAACCGAACTCAAACAGCTCGACCACCCAGCCCACCATTCTTCCTGACAAGTCTGGCTTCCTCAAGATCTTGGAAATGGGGTGATCGGTCTGAATTATGACCTAGTGGCTATGGAAATATGGTCGAAGTCTTCTAAATGCATTTAGTAGAGCCAGGGCTACCTACTCCACCTACTCGTACCGTGTATTGGTATCCTAAAGGGTTCGACTTACGAAGTACACGAGCTTTGGATTGGGTTTCTCCTACAACAGAACAACGCTAACGGTCGTATCTGAAACTCCCAGATAGACATGCAAATCTTCTTCTAGAGTCGGTCGATTCATGACCGGTGGGTTCATTAGGAATGTTTTAACATCTTGGAACACCTTTTCGCAGTAGGCATCCTATTTGGGAGCCCTCTTTTCTAATTGTAACCGGCTGTGTTTCCCCTAATGGCTCAAGCCGGTGTTCGATGTTTGTTCTTGGATCGAGAACCGCCATGGCCACATCTGATCGGTTGATTTACCTCTTGTTTGTCTGAGGATACATCTTTAGGTCGGCTACATAGCACTCCCTTGATGTTCTTTGGTTAGCCCGAACTATGGAAATCGTCCCCTTACTGGACGGGTATTTCATGGTGAGGTGTGGAGTTGACACAATAGCCCCAAAGGCGTTAAACACGGTTGTCCTAAGAGGACGTTATACGAAGTGTTATCTTCAACCAATAGGAATCGCACTCGTTTCTCTTTGGTGTCCCGGTCATTCCCCAAGCGAGTACGTAGGTTGACGTATCCCCTAGTGTCCACCCTTTCACTTGCAAACCCCACCATCTGCTCATTATAAGGGATGATTAAATCATCCAAAATGTCCATTTGTTGGAATGTCTTCCAATAGAGGATGTTTACTGAACTTCTCTGGTCGATGAGCACTTTGCTTATGCTGTAGCGGGCTATCTCTGCGGTGATGACCATGGGATCATCGTGGTCGGGGTCGAGGGCGTGGAAATCCTCATTTGTAAAGGTAATGGGTGGCATGGTTCTCCTAGACCTGTCCACTGCATGGACGGATCGCAATGCTCGGATGTGGGGCTTCCGCACGGAGGACGATGAACCTCCACCTGCAACCCCCCCCACCGAGATTGTGTTAATGTGTCCTCGTAACGGGCTGTCGTTACTTCTTTCGCGGCTTCGAATTCTCTGCTTCTCGGACCGAGAGCAGTAAATTTCGACCATGTCTTGGTCTTTCACGCTCGTCCGACTGTAGCGGGCTTCGCCGTCGCGGACTGAGCGACTGTTGTACCGGGACCTCGGCCCTCTGGGTGGTTCCCTTTGCTTGGCCCCTTCGGGCCTGTTTGACTGGTTGTCAAATTTCTTACCGTCCTTCTTTTCACTCTGTGCCTCCTGACTTTCCTTCTTGTACGATAGCTTCATCTCTTCTGCCCTGATTTTGTCAACCGCCCTTTCATGCAAGTCCTCCATAGTCTTTGGGGCGCACCGGCAGACATTGTCTTTGAACGGCCCGGGCTTGAGGGCTGGCAGGATGTATTGGAGGGTGAACTCGGGGTTAAGACCCTTCGCCCTCCGACCGAGTTTTTGGTAGCAATCCATTAACGCCTTCAGCGTTTCCTCTTTCCCTTGTTTAAGGTTTACCAAATCGAAAATGGTCGTGTCCTGGACACAGCTACTAGCAAATTGGCGGATGAACATGCACTAGAGACCTTCAAAATTCTCGATAGAGTTGGGAGGCAACAATGCCTCTCCCTCTAGGGACAAGGAGAACGCCCGACACCATATGTCGTCGTCCCCCGTCCGAAACGCCATGGTGTTAGTGAAAGTCTTGATATGTGCCTCCGAGTCAGTCGTCCCATTGTAAACCTTAAACTAAGGTGGGACAAACTGTTCG